TTTCATTCCGGTTTTAGCACATTAAAAATAGTAATATTTTGTTGATTTGATTTAGGATATTTTTTGGCTGTTGATCAGTGTTATTTTTCCAAATAAAAATAGTACGCCACTGTTTTTTTTGAAACTCGCAATTTTTCGAATTCCGCCTCTAATTTGCTATAAATAATTACTCTTGCGTTTTTTCCTAGAGTGCCTTGTTTTCGTAAAAATAAAAAAAGCACGAATTAGATATTCAAAGCTTTATTTCAATAAATGTAAAAAAGACCACCATTCTGATGGATACAAGTGCGGCATCTTAATAAAGAAAAACGTATTTCCGCAAAATTTGTTGTGGCTTAAATTTGACGAAACACGTACCCAGAGACTTAAAACAATTTCGAAATACACATAATTTTAAAAAGAAATTATCAGAATGGATATGCCCAATACACATACACCTCCTTGATATAAGTTTTTCTTTAAGTGTCAATAACTTTTTTGTTTTGATTCTGGAACACATTCCAACATACAGGGTTTGTCCGGAAAGTAATAGGACTGAGCGATTTAAAAAAAAATTATTGAACCAATCGTTACAATTCTTTAAAAACTTTCAAAATAAGCTCCTTCTTTGGATTGAAACATTAATTTATTTACCCGTACCCAATAAATGTCTACTACTACTTTCCATTTTTTCTGAGCTATTGTTAAAACCGTCTCCATCTCGTACTTGGCAATATTTTCCATTTATTATTAAATATTTCCTGGTAAATGATTCATCCGTTAATAATGTCATTATTCCCCATTCGAATATTCCGACTAATGTTATCAAGCAATAATAAAACAGTGGTGAAGGCTATCGAAAAAATTTATTAATCGAATTGACCTGGCGCTAATAAAAGTTGACCCCCTTTTATTATCATTGTAATCTTGCGATGCAGCGTCAGTTTATTATCGTAGGTGATTCAGAATTACACTTGATTACTACTAAAATAAGTGAAAGAAAAAACATAGAAAAACCAGCTTTTAATTAGTTATTAATAAAAACAACTAAAAACTAATAATAATTATAATGATAATGTTTATTGGCCTAACTACAAAGTTTTCACATAAATAATAACAATAAACGTAAGATACCCCAAAAAGTATACACTTGTGCTTGGGTTTTAACCGAACATGAGTTATACGAGGGATGTCTTTTAAGTTTTGCATATGGAAATAAAACAACACTGTAGGTAGTTTTAAATGACTTTATTGTTTTTTCAAGCATTCTCCACGAAGATTAATACACATCTGCACGCGCTTGGTGTTGATTGCTTTCAAGATTACAGTATATTCAGATATGAGATAGACCGGACATAAACAAGACCACGTGATCATCGAACGCTGTAACATTCGGCAGGGACGTATTAAGAGTCACGCAGTACATATTTTAGATAGTAGGTACTGCTTTGCGTAACTTTGTAGTAAATTAGCACAATTCGATGTGTATACGGTTGGTGATTTATATAGGATCATGTGGGGGTGGGGTAAGAAATATATAATGATGTAAATATACATAAGGGTTTCAAAATATTCGCTTCGATTTCCAGCTTCGGATGCCGCCTGATGTTTGGTGAAATACAGTCGAATATAATCTCAAAATGGCGTTTAAATTAGCCTAAATTAAAAATAATCGTATGTCTCTTAAAATTGCTTTTAGAATATTGATTAGTATATTTTTTGATTTCTAGGTAAATATGTAACCAAATTAAAACGTTCAAAACGTAAAAAAATGTGCATGGTTGAACATTGTCAGAAAGTAGATTCTTGAATAGGTTTTGCCAAAATGGGTTCAGAAATGTCAATAATTAATTAAAAAATACAGTAGCTTTATAATTACTTATAACTTACCGAATTTGATGAACGACATCTTTTATTGGAAAGATGAGCTTGATGAGCTTTCATCATCGCTACTGCCTGAAGCACCAACGTCAATAATGAATGGCTCGACTTGTTCCTCTAAAATATTGTCCAGTTCCCACATTCTCTTTTCAACTTTGTCTTTCACGTGCTTAATACAGTTTTCCCATTTTTGCGCTGTTATTAATTCTAGTGCTTCTTTGAAAAGTCCTTTGAGGTCACAAAATTTAAAAGTTGTATTGTGCTTAGCTATATAATTTTTAACCTCTGCCCATATGAGCTCAATGGGATTGAGCTCGCAATGGTATGGAGGTAAACGGAGCACAGTTTTATTTTGACTTGCTGCCATTTCGTCAATGGCGTATTTTTGATATTCCGCCTTGTGATCCTTGACAATTCTTAATAATTGTACTTTCAGCATTGCTTCTTCAAAGTTGATATTTTTCGAGCGGAGCCAATTTTGAACATCAACTTTCCTTGAAGCCGTTGTTGGGACCTTCTCCATACTTCGAGAATGATAAGGTGCATTATCCAACATAATTACTGCGTTTTCCTCTAAGTTCGGTAAAATTTTTGAAAACCACTGTTCAAACGATTCGCCATTCATTTCCTCGTGGTAATCTCCAGTTTTCTTAGACTCAAAGCACCACAGACCGTCAACAACAAATCCATCCTCACTGCCAATATGGCAGATAATGAGCCTTTTCCCTTTACCTGGAAATCGAAGTACTAACTGGTGTAGATTTATTTCAATAAGCGAACCTTTTTCAAATGTTTTCATCACATTCAGCGAAAAAACATTGAGACATGAGTATCAGATTGCTATAATTGGGATTATTTATTCATATTGAAAGAAAGAATATTGAACGTCGTATGATTACTCAGCGCTTCACAATTTAATTTAAAGTTATAAACCTTTAAAAAATGAATGATCAGGAACCTGAAATACGCGCAAATATTAATATTAACAAATTATAACTTTATAAAGCTTAAAGTATGAATTAAAATGATTAGAAATATTAGGAACGGTACACAATATAAAACTTAGCAACTTTTTTAAGTTTATAATATTCGACATATTTTAAGATTATATTAAAAAATTATTGAAATATCGAAAACACATAAAAACATGGCTTAAAAAAGTTCTAACAAATGAAAATGACAATAAAACATCCACGCATTTTATCGAAAGTTATAAAAGTTTTGTTACTCTATAATATGTTTTATCTGCCCCCTGGAATTAATATTTAGAACCTTGTTCCCAAGGTTTGAAAAACATCCGATTGTTGTCTATTACTCGTATTTACCTGCTGGATTTTTTAATCCGGTGGACAGTCCATCTAGAAAGGCCCTCCTGGATGAAGTTACAGAATCATCAACCCATACTTTACTTGTAGTGTGTCCTGCGTTTACCCACGTTTCATCAAGGTAATAAATCTTCCTGTTTTGATTTCTATATTTCCCAATTTTTGTTAAATAATCCCTCCTCCATAGCACAATTTCTTCTCTATCCAGTAGTAAACTATTACGACCCCGTTTTTTCCATTTGAAATTTAAATGCTTCAGTAACGCATGGAAAGTTGATCGTTTGAAATTTGGCAACGTTGTATCTCCATTTACCTCCTGCAGTACTTTATCTATAGTAGGTATTTCATTCCTAAAGAAGAATTCGTGCACTTTCCTCCTAATCGCATGATTATCAGCTTCATCCAATGATTTAACAATACTTTTGCGATGTTTACTGGTCATTGGCTCAGAAAAGGTGTGATTTTTTTTGTATTGTCTTAACACATTAAACACTGATGCGCGACACACCCCAACTTTGTGAGAAATCTTCACAACAATTTCTTTGATGGTTGATGCCTCGTTCTCCTCGCGCTCGATCTTATATATATTCAAAATGACCTCTTTCATTTCTGCACTCAGGTGTCTTTTTTTAGAGCGTTTCCTAGGTGGACTACAGGAGTTTACAACTTCATCGGCAGTATCTGTACTACTGGGCATTTTGCGCAAGCAGTTGATAACAATAACAATCAATAACAAGGTATAACAATAACAACGACAAACTCAACAACTTAATAAGATAACAAACGAAAACGTCCAAAGAAATATCAAATTGCAATGATGCACACGACATACGTAACACGTCTGAACCTGAATGTGACTCTGCCTTGATACGACTGCTCTGCCGCTCGGCATAGGCATTTAATTGCGAATGGACCAATGAGGGCTCCTGTTTTACGTCGAGACGGCGGCGTTAGCGTGAAAATCACCCGAACCTTTTGTTTACATCCGGTTTATCTCTTATCTGAATATACTGTAGATACAATAATATCTAGTTCCTTGTCGGATTTTGCTTGAATTTTGTAATTTCGCTACACTTCGTTAACTAACTTTGGACATTTTGTACTTTCGTACGAGATTTTTTAAAACTTTCAAACAATTTTTGGTATAATTTGGATTTCTCTATGTGAAACGACATCTTATTTAAACATTAAACTTTGGCTAATGGAATCAATGGTCACACAAATGTTAACTTACTATGCTTACAATACGTCTACTCGCTATACTATCCAAACGAAACAATACACTGATAGAGGCAATTTAGACAAGTGAACACCGCGCGGTAATTCCCCTACTCGGTTCTAAAGCGAGTAGGGGAATTACCGCGCGCTGTTCACTAAACGTATGCATTATTTGCGGGAATCCCCGAAAATGCGTTTCGTTTTCAAGCGAAGACAATGTGAGGGTTGCCATTCGTGTAAAAAAGTAAATAACTACCGATGACGTAATCATCATCTAGACTCTCCTACCCCCCATGTCATCGAAAATAAGCAAAGCAAAGAGTCCCCCGCCCCCCCACAGTGCTCACGTAATACTTGAACGGCCCCTTACCTTTGCTTGTCACTCAGTATAGATCGATGAAATTTTCCCACTGCCCCGATAACCTTTTATCTCACTCGAAAAAATCTATTGTCTCGATAAGGTTTCCTTATCAGCATTTTTTCCGTCGGATCGGTTTCCGACCACGGATATCAGTAGTTCCACGAGGTTTCTTAGAACGCGAGTTATAACCTAAGAAATGTATGCAATACGTTATCGCGATGTTTTGACGTGCCAGTTTATAGTTTTCCCGGTGGAATATGTAAATGATTTCAATTGTTTAGAATTCCAGAGGAATTGAGATTGCCTTGTTTCTAGAGTCCGGTCGAAGGTCAGTTTTTCGACTGAAGCCGAAGATGAAATGATACGTACACACAAAAGTGAGCCAACTCTCTTACCCAGAAACCAGAGAATACCGTCCCGGTTTTTGATGCGGTGACGTCATCTCAAAGCGCAAGCCTCAAATGCCGTTGAGTTTTCCGTGCTTTCAGTTTCGTTGAAGCTTCCAAAGAAAAGGGATGAGTCCAATCGTTTCAAAAGCCGAAATCTAATCGTGGTAGGTTCACTCATGTACGATGAATCTTCGACCTCTGTAAATCAAACTATACAGGGTGTTTTCAAAGTTGAGTCGTGCTTGTAGGACTCTTCAAAAGAAGTTGATATAACTAAAATCACTTATATAAAAGCTGCGTAATAGGAGAGTTAGTTTATATCATTAAAAATCATCATTAAGTTAATCAAAACTATCTGATTATGAAGTAAACGATATTTTAGCTCTAAATACATGTTTTTAAGACAAATCAGGTTACCTTAAGTAAGACCCGTGGGAAAACGAAATTTTAAAAATATACTAAGTGACATATAAATCAGAACACCCAGTTTAAATGGTTTTATTTTAATAAAATTTTGTATAAGTACTTAATGAAGCATAATAAGTAAATGATAAAAATTTCAAAATGATTGCACTGCTTTAAAGCCCTTTGACCTTTAATAATGTGTGGATGCACCCTGATGTGCTACGCATTCTCCAACGCGCCTAGGCATGCTTCTGATCAGGTGGTCAATGTCCTCCTGTGGTATCTCATTCCAGGCAACCACCAACTCCTCTCGAAGTGCTTCTAGAGTCTGAGGAGGACGTTGCAAATTGAGCAATCTCCTACCCATCATATCCCACACGTGCTCAATTGGGGATATGTCGGGAGATCTTGGTGGCCATGGTAACAATGTGACATCATTATGTTGAAAGAAGTCTATTGTGACTCTTGCAACATGTGGTCGGGCATTATCTTGTTGGAAAGTTGGATCTGCCAGGGTGTCAAGATAGGGTAAAAGATGGGGTTCTAGAACTTCGTGGATATAACGCTGCGCGTTCATGTTACCTCTGATGAAGATTGAAGGTGACCTGGAACCATAAACTATAGCACCCCAAACCATAACTCCAACAGTGTGATGAACATGTCTTTCAACAAAAAACTGTGGATTCCTCCTTTCACCACGTCGCCTTCTAACCCTGGCACGACCATCGTGCATGCCTAAACAAAATCGAGACTCGTCACTAAAGACAATACTGTTCCATTCCTGATCTCAGAGTGACCGTAGTCTGCACCACTCAAGGCGATTACGTCGGTGTTCTCGAGTTAAAGGGAGGACCCACTGTGGCCGGTATGAAAACAAGCCAAAACTTCTCATTCGTCGGTAAACACTTCGCATGCCAATAGGTCTTCCGTGTTCTGCAAACCATTCATTTGCAATGGACCTGGTAGTGGAGAAACGGTCCCTTAAGGCTAATAATCTTAGGCGGCGATCTTCACGGTCTGTTGTTCTACGGCGGCGTCCAGTGCCCCTTGCTCTTTGCGTACGGCCTTCTCGAAGCCATGCCTGACAACACCTAACCACAGTGTCTACACTTCTTTGCACTCTAACTGCAATTACCCGAAAAGAAAGTCCAGCTTCCCGAAGTCCCACTATACGGCCCCTATCAAACTCACTAAGTTGACGAAATCGTACACTCTAGGCATCGTAACCGATCGTAAAGGATGTCAAGAACCAAAATCCGCCAACGTTGATTCTTTACTGCGGCTGAAATATTAATTTTTAGAGCGTTAGTGAATTAAAAAAAAGCAGTATAAAAACCGGAATGTCCAACTGATAAGGCTGAAAATTTTTTGACAGTAAGATAAATACATTCACCAACTTTTATTAAAATAAAACCATTTAAACTGGGTGTTCGGATTTATATGTCACTTAGTATACTTAGAAAAAGTTAAATACGTCTTTTTAAGACCTAACTTTGACACTTGTTTTCTTTAATCAAGTAAGTAAGATAGAGCAAGGTAATCTTTATCATAGAATTTTGATTGAGCGTGATTAAATAACAACACGGTTCTGGTCGCATCGCATCGAAAAAAATCAGTGTCCGTTCAGCTTTGACAGTGATCGCGAGGTGTTTATAGTGCGGGAAATGTTGTACGATGATGAGAAGGATGGCGAAAATTGCGAGTAAGTGTATAACTTCATCTATATACTGAGTGGAAAAAAATGTAAGGGACGCTAAACATACCGCCAAAAATTACTAAAATCGAATAAACATAGGCGTTTACATTTTTTTCTCACTCAGTATACGAGCCCCTTCCCACTTCAGTTGGCCCACTTCAAGATTTGTACCAAAATATGCCTTTATAAAGTAAACATGATGAAACTATTTACTTCTAAAACAATTTGTTTTCTCAAAAACATCTAGTCGTAAAAAATACATATTTGAAATCACTTAGACCTATAACTAGTAGAACATCTGAACATAATAAAATATGTGCGAATAAAAGTTAACAAACAACAATTGAAAGATTACCATTGGGTAACATCACCTTTATTTTTTATTACGGCTGAAATTCTTTGGGGCTTAGTGTTAACCAAGTTTTGGTAAACATTTGGTGTAAAACAATCCCATATTTCTTGAAGCTTTTGTCTCAGTTCGGTGATTGTACGAGCAGGATGTTGTCGTAGAACCTTTTTCATCTCGTGCCACAAAGTTTCAATAGGTGACAGATCTGGACTGCTAGAAAGCCATTTCAAAAGTGGTACATTATTTTCTTCCATCCATTTTATAGCCTTTTTGAGGTATGGCACGCTGCACCATCTTGCTGAAACACTAATTTTTTTCCGGATGTCAAACATTCTTCCATCATTGGTAAAAGCGATTCTTCGAAAATTGCCAAATATTTGTTTGTATCCACATTTACATCAATAAAATGAAGTTTTCCTACTCCTTTTGATGACATAAAAACAATTGTCATGGCTTTTATTTTTCACAGCCACCTATGCGTTATAGACTTAGAGCCGTTTTACACATAAAAGAATTACTCCGAAAATTATGGTCATAATTATGCGGAAAATTTTTGCTGTCGTATTACACGTAAAAGAATTCTTGTGAAAACTTTCATGGTAAAAATATAAAACCCGTTCTATAGAATATGCGCGAGAATCGGCGCAGAGGGTTATTTCCGTGCATGTCAATATCAAATGTCAACGTCAACAACATAACCTCACTTAACATTTATGGGTGTGGTCCTGTTCGAGTCATACGAAGAAGCGTTTATTGTTATTGTGTAACAATTTTAAAGAACAAAATAAGTTTTAAATCTTTGGCGCTGCTCTAAAACTATACACTTATCTTTCACTGGTCCATTTTGACTGGACTGAAGCGAGGATGGCCAGGTGCTTGAGGTAGAGGTCCCAGTTATGAGGGGTGACCTCACATCTAGTGGCTTCAAAACCAGTTGTAGGCGAAGTTGAACTTAAAGGTTATGGCGCTGCCAAGGCACATGCATGGGTGAAGTGATAGGCCAAGCAATGCAAAGTCAAAGACAAAGGCAAAAGCAAAGTCAAAGACAAATGCAAAGGGAATTTGAAAGAGAAAGGGGGTGGCCCCAATCATTTTGTCCTATTCGGACACACATTCTGCAAAATACTAGCATATGGCGCTATATGACCTCATGCTACAGAGAACAAAATTCTTAGCTCTTATTAGATCGGCGGCTCAAGTGAAAAAAGGAAACGCGAGGAAGATCGCAGATCAGGAACTCCGCATCAAGCGCTCCAAGCGGAAAATTTTCCAAGCAAAAAAGCTAGAGATGGGATTAATGATTTGCGATTCTGAAATGATAATCGAGAAGTGATTTAATAAATACGATCGGACGGTGAAACCGTTACAATTGTTTATTCATAATATCGTGGAATCGGGAAGAAGTTACACTGTTGTTGGAGGAGTACCAAAAATGGCCAAAATGTACAAGGTGTAATATTGATCAAGATCTCGATTTCAAAAATAAATTTAAATCAACGACGTCTGTTGTCTTTCCGATTATATTGGACGTCATACCCGTTAGGGTCATGTCCTTTCGAAATATTCGAAAATATTACTCTAATGCGCAGGCGTAACATATGAATTACTCGGAGATTTTCGTTGCTTGTGTCATACAGGTTGTAGAGAAAATCTTCAATATTTTTCCCATGAAAATTATCGGCATAATTATGACCATAATTTTCGGAGTAATTCTGTTGTGTGTAAAACGGCTCTTATTTTGCATTGAAATGAAACTAGGTTGATATGCTGTAATTGCAACATGTGTTATTTTTATGCTGCAAATTTGATTATGGAGTGAAAAAGTTGGTGTTTTCTACTATACAGGGTGTCCGCAAAGTTGGGGTTGTCCTTTCAAGAAACAACTACCCTTGAAATAACAAAGGTAATGTGTAGTGAAACGAGGGCGACCAAGTAAAAAAAAATAAAGGAAAAAGTACTCACTCTCCAGTTGTCGAGAAGGGCTAAGTACGTCTCTGCCCGAAATCATACAGCTCCAACAGAAAATGAAATCAGCTGATGCGCTACCGAGCAGACGCAGAAACCACATTGATTGTCTTACACTTAATGGCACATCTTCTAACAAGGAAGGCAAAATGTTGCGTAAAAAGTCTAGGTATTGCATCCCGTCCAATCGATTTGGGAGAATAAATGGTCCAATGAGCATACCGTTCACCATGCCAGCCCAAACATTCACCGGAAATGTTTGTTGAAAATGTGCCCGACGGACAGCGTGCGGATTTTACCTGACCAAACATGAGTGTTGCGAAAGTTATTCACCCCATTACGCGTGAACGTAGATTCGTCTGTCACCAATATGCACTTCAAAAAGTCCGGATTATTGTCATGTTGATGCAACAACCACTCACAAAACCGCACTCTTGCTGGAAAATCGTCAGGTTGAAGGGTTTGTACACGTTGGACGTGAAACGGATACAGCCCCTCTTCACACTTTAGTTTTTGATACTTGCACTTCTCTAGCCACGTCTCTAGTGCTTGTTGAGGGATTCTCGTATACGCGATTACCTCTACACGCGTGACCATAACCGTCGGTTGAAGGTTGCATACTGACCTGACACACTGACCCCGACCCAGTTCTGTCGTCGGGTTGAGCCAGTGACCTTGTACCACTCGGTGACGTCGCGGGTCGCGGCTACAGGACGCTATTCAGATATTTTTGATGTTGCAGAGCTCTTTATCTCGGTTCCCTTAAGACATTGGTGTATATGGTACTTAGAAAAATTGCTTATGTTTTCAAGATCTACACGTCGTGTAAAGGAAAACCCCAACTTTGCGGACACCCTGTATATTATCAAAATATTCATTGTTAATATTCTAAACCCATGACACCCTGCTACATTTTTATTATTTGTGTTTGATAAGAAAAAAACTAAGATTTCAATAGATGGGTCAACTGAAGTGGGAAGGGGCTCGTAGATGAAATCGGTTTGAGAATCTGTCGTCTAGCCTCTATACTCCGAAGGAGCTTCACATTCAGTTCATTATATGCATTTCTCATGGGTCCACAATCAAATCTCATTATCATCACCTCCGCTATCGGCCCTTTCATCTCCGCATAGAATGAAATTTAATTATTCTCGGCATTTATTACGCCGCGTTCGTTTTTTTCACTTTTTTCTCGTTTTGTTCCAGAATGCCGCTTCCCTCGCGGCAAGTGCTCCTGTTCGGGCAACGTCGGGTATTCCCGGCTGAGCGAACGGCTGGACGAGGAGGAAGAAGAGGACGAGGATGAAGACAGCTTCTGCTGGAGTCCTGATAAAGCGGTAAGATCGTCAGCGATACCAAATAAAACCAAAAAAACATCATACAACGCTGTCAGTAGTTCATAAAGGTTTAAGTTCGGCACATCTGTGAGAAAAGTGTTCTTTGAATATGTATAACAAAATGTTCCTGGTCCCCACTGATTTGACAACGTTGCGATCTAGAAATTCATCATGTTGCAACATTGTTTATCACTGCCTGCAATCCACCATGTTTTTCTTGGCGGAGATTCTGCATCCTGGCTTCTCAAATAGTGAGGTGCACTCCAATCTGAGAAAGAACGAGTTGCAGCTTTAGTCCGCCGCAATCTTTCTTGCTCCAGAGACGTTTCGTTCATTCAGGCCCGAATGACATTCTGTGGCTTCGCCTAAACTCCAAAACATCCGCAAAATTTATTCGCTGCCTTTATCGCTCTCTTCCCGACCATAACTGGGATGATCTGATTGAATATCTAGTTGTCAAGATCGATTTCCTGAGTCAGGCCTCAAAATTTGGCATTACCATTAAGTACCCTTCGTGGTACAACAGTCAAGCATAAAGCAAAGTTATACAAGAAGTACAAAAAGAGTCACAATAACCATCTACATGAACAGTACAAACGTCAAATATCTGTGGCCTATAAAAATTATACACGTAATGTTGAGATTTCCATCTCTCAAGATCCTAAACATTTTTGGAGTTTTATGCATGCAAGAAATCGAACTACTGGTAAAATGAAGTTGAATGACGTCTCACTGAACGATCCTTACTGTGCTGTCAATGCATTTGCTCGTAATGTTTTTATTGAAGGCAGGAATCCTACTAGTCAGGTTAACATATTTTTCAATGACATTCATGAAAATGAGATTATTGCTGCATCTAAAAAACTCAAGAATAGAGTAACGGCCGGCCCAGAAAACATCCCCTCGTTCATAGTCAAAGATTGAATTCATGTCTTTGTTAAGCCGTTATTAAAAATATACAATCTGACTATAGAAACCAACACATTCCCTGATATTTGGAAACTTTCTAGAGCGACACCTATTTTCAAATCAGGAGATAATCGACTATATTAAGCGGTGATCGATTGTTTCGATTTGGTAGGAATTGGTAGGAGTTGCGGATTTGTCGTATGACGTCGACGCGGTTTTTCCGGTTTTTTTCCCGGTTCGCGAAACGTTCGGACGGAAAGCGGTACCGTTTCGGAAACTAGAAAGTCGGCGCTTTACTGGGGAGCGAGAGCCGGTGCGGTGAGAGGAACGAATCGCATCGAAAATGGCCGGTAAAGTCGAAAAATCGGCGGTTTTTCGCGCGGTACGCGGAGTTATTTCACACCCGTTTCGCCGTTTATCGAAAAATCGACTCGAGATCGGTCTCGTCGACTGTATTAACGAGTGATCTATTGTTTTTAGTAGGATTTGGATTTCGAGAGCAGATCCGAACGGTCGACATCGACGCGGTTTTTCCGGTTTTTTTCCGCGTTCGCGAAACGTTCGGAAGGAAAGCGATACCGTTTCGGAAACTAGAAACTCGGCGCTTTACGGGCAAGCCAGAGCCGGTGCGGTGAGAGCAAGAAACCAGTTCGTAAATGGCCGGTAAAGTCGAAAAAAACGGTAGATTTTCGTGCTGTTCGAGGTTCAACATCGACCTCCTCCGAAGATAAAGGAGCTACGAACCTGACGATTTTTGCGTGAAAAAACCCGGACGTCGGACTCAAAGATAGCGTCCTTCTTTTTTTTCTTTGTCCCTTTTCGTTCGAAAATTTCGATTTTTTTGAATTCCTCGACTATGCGCTATCTTCCGATTTTTCCGGTTTTTTTCGGGTTCGCAAAACGTTCGGAAGGAAAGCGATACCGTTTCGGAAACTAGAAACTCGGCGCTTTAAGGGGGAGCGAGAGCCGGTGCGGGCAGAGCAAGAAACCAGTTCGAAAATGGCCGGTAAAGTCGAAAAAACCAGTAGATTTTCGTGCTGTTCGAGGTTCAACATCGACCTCCTCTGAAGATAAAGGAGCTACGAACCTGACGATTTTTGCATGAAAAAGCCCGGACGTCGGACTCAAAGATAGCATCTTTCTTTTTTTTTTCTTTATCCCTTTTCGTTCGAAAATTTCGATTTTTTTGAATTCCTCGACTATGCGCTATCTTCCGGTTTTTCCGGTGTTTTTCCGGGTTCGCGAAACGTTCGGAATGAAAACGATACCGTTTCGGAAACTAGAAACCCGGCGCTTTACGGGGGAGCGAGAGCCGGTGCGGTGAGAGCAAGAAACCAGTTCGAAAATGGCCGGTAAAGTCGAAAAAACCGGTAGATTTTCGTGCTGTTCGACGTTCAACATCGATCTCCTCCGCAGATAAAGGAGCTACGAACCTGACGATTTTTGCGTGAGAAATCTCGGACGTCGGACTCAAAGATAGCGTCTTTCTTTTTTTCTTTATCCCTTTCCGTTCGAAAATTTCGATTTTTTGGAATTCCTCGACTATGCGCTATCTTCCGATTTTGCCGGTTTTTTTCCGGGTTCGCGAAACGTTCGGAAGGAAAGCGATACCGTTTCGGAAACTAGAATCTCGGCGCTTTACGGTCGAGCCAGAGCCGTTGCGGTAGGATTTACAAACGCGATCGAAAATGGCCGGTAAAGTCGAAAAAAACCGGTAGATTTTTGTGCTGTTCGACGTTCAACATCGATCTCCTCCGAAGATAAAGGAGCTACGAACCTGATGATTTTTGCGTGAGAAAGCCCGGACGTCGGACTCAAAGATAGCGTCTTTCTTTTTTTTCTTTATCCCTTTTCGTTCGAAAATTGGATTTTTTTGAATTCCTCGACTACGCGCTACTTTCCGATTTTCCGTTTTTTTTCCGGGTTCGCGAAACGTTCGGAATGAAAACGATACCGTTTCGGAAACTAGAAACTCGGCGCTTTACGGGGGAGCGAGAGCCGGTGCGGTGAGAGCAAGAAACCAGTTCGAAAATGGCCGGTAAAGTCGAAAAAACCGGTAGATTTTCGTGCTGTTCGACGTTCAACATCGATCTCCTCCGCAGATAAAGGAGCTACGAACCTGACGATTTTTGCGTGAGAAATCTCGGACGTCGGACTCAAAGATAGCGTCTTTCTTTTTTTCTTTATCCCTTTCCGTTCGAAAATTTCGATTTTTTGGAATTCCTCGACTATGCGCTATCTTCCGATTTTGCCGGTTTTTTTCCGGGTTCGCGAAACGTTCGGAAGGAAAGCGATACCGTTTCGGAAACTAGAATCTCGGCGCTTTACGGTCGAGCCAGAGCCGTTGCGGTAGGATTTACAAACGCGATCGAAAATGGCCGGTAAAGTCGAAAAAAACCGGTAGATTTTCGTGCTGTTCGACGTTCAACATCGATCTCCTCCGAAGATAAAGGAGCTACGAACCTGATGATTTTTGCGTGAGAAAGCCCGGACGTCGGACTCAAAGATAGCGTCTTTCTTTTTTTTCTTTATCCCTTTTCGTTCGAAAATTGGATTTTTTTGAATTCCTCGACTACGCGCTACTTTCCGATTTTCCGTTTTTTTTTCCGGGTTCGCGAAACGTTCGGAATGAAAACGATACCGTTTCGGAAACTAGAAACTCGGCGCTTTACGGGGGAGCGAGAGCCGGTGCGGTGAGAGCAAGAAACCAGTTCGAAAATGGCCGGTAAAGTCGAAAAAACCGGTAGATTTTCGTGCTGTTCGACGTTCAACATCGATCTCCTCCGAAGATAAAGGAGCTACGAACCTGACGATTTTTGCGTGAGAAAGCTCGGACGTCGGACTCAAAGATAGCGTCTTTCTTTTTTTCTTTATTGCTTTTCGTTCGAAAATTTCGATTTTTTTGAATTCCTCGACTATGCGCTATCTTCCGATTTTTCCGGTTTTTTACGGGTTCGCGAAACGTTCGGAAGGAAAGCGATACCGTTTCGGAAACTAGAAACTCGGAGCTTTACGGTCGAGTGACAGTCGTCGCGGTAGGAGGAAGAAAATAGTTCGAAAATGGCCGGTAAAGTCGAAAAAACCGGTAGATTTTCGTGCTGTTCGACGTTCAACATCGATCTCCTCCGAAGATAAAGGAGCTACGAACCTGACGATTTTTGCGTGAGAAAGCCCGGACGTGGAACTCAAAGATAGCGTCTTTCTTTTTTTTCTTTATCCATTTTCGTTCGAAAATTTCGATTTTTTTTGAATTCCTCGACTATGCGCTATCTTCCGATTTTTCCGGTTTTTTCCGGGTTCGCGAAACGCTCGGAAAGAAAGCGATACCGTTTCGGAAACTAGAAACTCGGAGCTTTACGGTCGAGTGACAGTCGTCGCGGTAGGAGGAAGAAACCAGTTCGAAAATGGCCGGTAAAGTCGAAAAAACCGGTAGATTTTCATGCTGTTCGACGTGCAACATCGATCTCCTCCGAAGATAAAGGAGCTACGAACCTGACGATTTTTGCGTGAGAAAGCCCGGACGTCGAACTCAAAGATAGCGTCTTTCTTTTTTTTCTTTATCCCTTTTCGTTCGAAAATTTCGATTTTTTTTAATTCCTCGACTATGCGCTATCTTCCGGTTTTTCCGGTGTTTTTCGGGGTTCGCGGAACGTTCGGAAGGAAAGCGATACCGTTTCGGAAACTAGAAACTCGGCGCTTTAAGGGGGAGTGAGAGCCGGTGCGGTGAGAGCAAGAAACCAGATCGAAAATGGCCGGTAAAGTCGAAAAAACCGGTAGATTTTCGTGCTGTTCGACGTTCAACATCGATCTCCTCCGAAGATAAAGGAGCTACGAACTTGACGATTTTTGCGTGAGAAAGCCCGGACATCGAACTCAGAGATAGCGTCTTTTTTTTTTCTTTATCCCTTTTCGTTCGAAAGTTTCGATTTTTTAAAATTGCTCGACTATATGCTACTTTTCGATGCGTGAAAAAGTCACTTTGTTTTCCGGTCCTGTCCTCGCCTATTACTACTATACGTAAGCGAGTAAAAATTATATAGCTATCGAAAAATAACGATAATGAGCTGACGAAACGATTTTGACCGTTAAAATTACGGTCAAATTTCGAAAAAGTAAAGTAAAAGGAAGCAATATGTTACTTTTAATGGATTCAAGTCGTACCAGTATATAACTAAATCGGGAGTGCCTCACGGTTCAAATCTTGATCCTTTATTGTTTACCTTATTTATTGATGATGTACATTATTTAACTTGTAATAAACTCCTCTTTGCGGTTGACTTCAAATTATTCAGGATTATTGAGCCTGATATCGATTCTCTTGCGTGTTGGTGTGACGAGAATAATTTGTTTCTTAATGCGTCTAAGTGTAGTGTAGTCAGCTTTTCCAGGGAAACTTCTGCTTGTGAATTTAATTGTAATATTGGGGATGCTTACATAAATCGTTATAACTCAATTAAGGATTTGGGTGTAGTTTTTGGCCATAAACTTAATTTTTCCTGCACATAGCTCAAAAGGTGAGAGAAGCTTCGCGGGCGTACGTACTGTCTTATTTTGAGAAACTATAGAAACTTTAACCGGCCAGAGTCACTGTTGGTTTTGTATTCTGCATAATATTAGATCGAAATTGGAATATGCATCGTTAACTTGGAATCCTATTTACAACTGCCACTGAAACTTTGTTATTGTCTAGGTTTCAAGTGCAGTCTTTAGAACTGAGAAGGAAGTGTGCATCAATTATGTTCTTCCATAAACTACTGCACATTCAAATTGATGCTGATGGGATTGTGGCTCAAATAAACTTTAATGTTCCATCTATTCAAACTCGTACAGCTAAAACATTTTATTGTGATAGGGCTCGCACAAATTTGTTTTTTAAGGCACCCATATATGTGATGTGTGAAACTTTCGATGCAATATCAAATTATTGTGATCTACATGCTGACAGTTTGAACAGCGTTCTGGAAGTAGCTAGAAAATGTTTTGATAATTTATGATATGTTACTCATGTTTGTTGATGAAGTCACTTGCTTTTTATGTGTTTTCTGTTCTTGTTATTTTGATTTATCTTAGGATTGTCGTGTAAATGGTTTTCTTAACTGTTGGGCAATAAACGCTTTATTTATTATTTATTAATTATATTACGGACACGCCGACTGGAAGAGGGTCAGAAACTTTTTCTCCACCTTTCCCTGGACAGAATTATCCACGTTGTGATGGACCAATACGTCCCTCATACTGTTGAAGTACTTAAACTTAGATTGATAAATAAATATTTCATTTCTACTTGCAGGAAGAAATCACGTTCTACAACGAGAACGAAAGCGCCCAGTCTGTAGTGGTGGAAAAAAACTTGTGCGCAAGTGACTTGTGCCAACTTTTGGCCATGAAAAATAGAGTATCGAAAAGCGTACATTGGAGCATCGTAGAGTGTTGGACTGACCTAGGACTGGGTAAGTTCATATTTGAAAAAAAGGTGTATCTTATTTTTGCGTATTTATAGTCAAGCAAAGTCGGTAAGTATTTGTGATGTGGGCGGAGTAGTAGCAGTTGAGGTGTGGAGGCGAAGAGGTATCCTTGATTATTATTTTTTGCCGTACATTCCATTATTATAAGTATCAAGTTAAGTTAGATAGGTATAAACTTTGTTGTACTAAAGTTAGTAAACACTTAATGGATCACCCTGTATTGTACGGCTATAGAGACGTCTCCCTAGAAATCAAAATTGACGAAAAATCGTAGAGCTCACATTTGCTTTTCTGAATACCTTTTAAGTGCGATCTGTTTGTTTCTCTATGACTCTTACTTGTCAAAAACGGTATTCAGGTGGTTATTTTTGCCGATTCAACTATTTTATACCTCAGTCAGTTTTTTTATAGTCCGATTAGACGTCAGCAATCGTAATTATTTATATATTATGTAAATATTTTGCGTAAAAGTATTTGTATTCAAATTAACAGCCAATTATGCCTGGTACTTCGGTATCTATAAAGTAGAATTGATTGATAAAATATAAATATTCTTATCACAAATTGTCGTAAATAGATAAGAGAAATATACTTGAACATGATTAATGAATGGAGGAATCAGAGACAATCTGGAAGCTTTTTGGTACTAGATGTATTTTTTTGGTCTCAAAACCTGTCCATTTGGATTAGGTAAAAATGACTTAGGCCTAATTTCCTATGATTCCTCGATTCACATAAAAACTGACCCTCTGCAAGTTATATCCAACTTAAGTTTCTTTTTATACGGATGCAGCCGTCTATACAGGGTGTCCCGAAAAAAGTGTGCAATATTCTACCAGCGGTTTCTAGAGCTCAAAATAGGGTATTTCCGAAACGTGTTGAGATAAACACATAAAATTTGGAATTCTAGCCTAGTTTTTTATGCTGGATTTGAAAATATTAACAATTTTAGACAGTTTTGTTTGGAATCACACAAAGATTTTGAGGCTAAAATAACTTGAGTCCGTCCCTGTTACAGACGCTTCCAAACAAAACTGTGTAAAATTGTTAATATTTTTAAATCCAGCATAAAAAACTAGTCTAGGATACCAAATTTTATGTCTGTATCTCAACACGTTTCGGAAATATTAAGGAAAAACCATCTTCAGGGGAACCCCTTTAAAAGACCGTAGCGCCCTTAGGGGACGTTTATCGACCTATGTTTATATAAACTTTTCTTCCTATTTTAAACTCTAGAAACCGCTAGTAGAATATTACACACTTTTTTTGAGAAACCCTGTATAAGAAAACGCCTTAATTCAGTGGTCGCTAACCTTTTCAGTGTGTTGAGCTACTTTGATAATTTTGGAACCATCGGACTTCAGTGTGAAGAAGTAGTTCCTCGTATTGACAGTCAATTGAATGATCTTTGTAACGCTTGAGCTCCAATCTTGTTCACAATTTTTATCTTTACGACATAACCCCACGAGACCCACCATAGCTGGAGCGTGATAATCACCATTTTCGATATTGGAATTTTCTCAGAAAAAATAATGTTTTTAAAAGAAGAAAACAAGTCCTGCCCAGACTAGAAAACCTCCCTATACCGAGTTTTGTGCCAAAATCTGAAATATACTAAATGACATATAAATCCGAACACCCAGTTTAAATGGTTTTATTTTAATAAAATTTTGTATAAGTACTTAATGAAGCATAATAAGCAAATGATAAAAATTTCAAAATGATTGCACTGCTTTAAAGCCCTTTGAGCTTTCATAATGTGTGGATGCACCCTGATGTGCTACGCATTCTCCAACGCGCCTAGGCATGCTTCTGATCAGGTGGTCAATGTCCTCCTGTGGTATCTCATTCCAGGCAACCACCAACTCCTCTCGAAGTGCTTCTAGAGTCTGAGGAGGACGTTGCAAATTGAGCAATCTCCTACCCATCATATCCCACACGTGCTCAATTGGGGATAAGTCGGGAGATCTTGGTGGCCATGGTAACAATGTGACATCATTATGTTGAAAGAAGTCTATTGTGACTCTTGCAACATGTGGTCGGGCAGTATCTTGTTGGAAAGTTGGATCTGCCAGGGTGTCAAGATAGGGTAAAAGATGGGGTTCTAGAACTTCGTGGATATAACGCTGCGCGTTCATGTTACCTCTGATGAAGATGGAACCACAAGCTATAGCACCCCAAACCATAACTCCAACAGTGTGATGAACATGTCTTTCAACAAAAAACTGTGGATTCCTCCTTTCACCACGTCGCCTTCTAACCCTGGCACGACCATCGTGCATGCCTAAACCAAATCGAGACTCGTCACTAAAGACAATACTGTTCCTTCCTGATCCCAGAGTGACCGTTGTCTGCACCACTCAAGGCGATTACGTCGGTGTTCTCGAGTTAAAGGGAGGACCCAGTGTGGCCGGTATGAAAACAAGCCAAAACTTCTCATTCGTCGGTAAACACTTCGCATGCCAATAGGTCTTCCGTGTTCTGCAAAACATTCATTTGCAATGGACCTGGTAGTGGAGAAACGGCCCCTTAGGGCCAATAATCTTAGGCGGCGATCTTCACGGTCTGTTGTTCTACGGCGGCGTCCAGTGCCCCTTGCTCTTTGCGTACGGCCTTCTCGGAGCCATGCCTGACAACACCTAACCACAGTGTCTACACTTCTTTGCACTCTAACTGCAATTGCCCGAAAAGAAGGTCCAGCTTCCCGAAGTCCCACTATACGGCCCCTATCAAACTCACTAAGTTGACGAAATCGTGCAGGTCTCCGTACTCTAGGCATCGTAACCGATGGTAAAGGATGTCAAGAACCAAAATCCGCCAACGTTGATTCTTTACTGCGGCTGAAATATTCATTTTTAGAGCGTTAGTGAATTAAAAAAAAGCAGTATAAAAACCGGAATGTCCAACTGATAAGGCTGAAAATTTTTTCACTTGTTATTTACAGTAAGATAAATACATTCACCAACTTTTATTAAAATAAAACCATTTAAACTGGGTGTTCGGATTTATATGTCACTTAGTATACAAGCAATAAGGAAAAATAGAAAATAAAATTGTACACACCCGGTATCTCGCAAACTATCAACTTTTGGACTAAGGTATGTTTAGGTCAATTCACATATTTTGGTATGTAGTATCTCCAATTTCGAGATTTCCCAACATTTCGCAGAGACCCTGTATATCCTTTGAGTTACCTTCAGCTTTTGAAATATTTATTTTTTGATCACCCTGTATCGAGACGCATCCGCCTACTATCAACTAGTGTGGTCTCTTAGCAGCAAACGACCCCTTCGGAGAAGTCTGTTGACAAATAACCTTCAGCAGCAACTAGAATTTTTACGATGTGGAGATATTCTCTTCTCGGAATTGTTATTCATCATGTCGGTCGGAGCGGTGTCACGCTGTAACTTTGCTAACGTTCGCTATTTGTTTAGAGCTAGTTGATGGATAGACAGGACTTTCAAAGTTGGTTGCGAGTGAGCAGAATGAGTAAATACGACCAAGATAAATAATAGCAAAGATAAATATTGCGATAGTCGCAGAAACTAAACATATCGACGGGAAGTTAAATAGGCCTCAAGTGGTGTATAGTAGAGAAAAAAGCGGTCAGAATCGGACCCCATGTCGTCTTGGAAAATGGCGTCAAGTAGATAGACCATACTTCCCGTGCCTTCTAGTACAATTTTCCGAGTTTAAACCTTAACTACCCAAAACTATTTTAAACGTATTCTGACAGCTGTGATTAATAAAAGCAATTGTCATGGCTTTTATTTTTCACAACCACCTATGCGTTATAGACTTATTTTGCATTGAAATGAAAATAGGTTGATATGCTGTAATTGCAACATGTGTTATTTTTATGCTGCAAATTTGATTAGGGAGTGATAAAGTTGGTGTTTTCTACTATACAGGTATATTATCAAAATATTCATTGCTAATATTTTAAACCCTGCTACATTTTTATTATTTGTGTTTGATAAGAAACAAACTAAGATTTCAATAGTTGGGCCAACTGAAGTGGGAGGGGGCTCGTATACCGATTTTCAAAAAAAAACAAGGTTCAAGGATTGGCTGACAGACCGATTGACAGACGGACGGAAATGAGTGAATATTGATGTTAACTTACGACGTGTAATCACCAAAAACAGTGAAAAGAACTGAATTCCATTCAGCTCAGTATCAATGTAGCATTATTTAAACATTATTTGTCAGTCTGGCAACACCGCCTTGGAAAATGCAAAAGGAAACACGCGGTACCTTGGCAGACAGTCGAGCCATCTATAAGCGAATCACCAAACCAAGGACCGACTGACTTTCTCTCTGAGAATTGACGTATTCTCCTCTTCATCCCACAACGTCAACGCGGGCGTTCCCCAGGGATCGGTATTGGCTCCGACATAGATCCTCTTACATATCAATTACCTCTTTTAGTGCACGATCAATCGCCAAAAGGCGTGGGAAGTAAAAATATAAAATGAACAAAAATCATTTTATAAAACCTCTGATTTGAACATGAGTTGAAACTGGAACCCTAGCAAAAATTGTCGATCATCAATTAAGGCAGTGGTCGCCACCCCGTCGATCGCGAGCTACCAGTAGTTCGCAAAGGCAATTCTGGTGGCTCATAACATATCTCAAAAGGTGTAACAATCATAGAAGGTTCCCTAAATTTTGTAAATTCGCATAATAAACACAAACTGCGACAACACTGCGGTGAGCGATCTGTTCGAGAACGATCTCGATTACTTTGAACGGAATAAATACGCAAGGCGCGGCTACAGTCCGGCGGTTGGGTTAGAGTTGGCGTGCAATTTAAAAAGTTATGAGCAGTACTAAGAAGATGAAGACATACCATTTCCACTCGGGATGGGAAGAACAATATTTATTTACAGAAGTTAAAGGTAAAAATGTATGTTTGTTATGTAATACATATGTTTCCGTTGCTAAAAAAGGGAATATCGAGAGACACTATAAAACAGAACATGCGTATTTTGTAAAATCATTCCCATTACCTTCTGCAACGAGAACGGAAAAACTGAAACAATTACAAAATCACTTATTGGACAA